TAAAGCGTTAGAACTGAGCCTCTTTCTGCCCGAACTGTAAGCATGAAAATATTTTCCTTAGCATTCATACACACGTTATTTACGTTTTATTATAAGATGCTTATATTTAGAGATTACTCGTTCGAGCGAATTATATTGCGTTTCTATCTCCTGCGTTGCCAAACACGACCAAATGTACCTTTGATCATAAGCCAAGTAATTTCTATAAAGGGAGTCGCGAGTGGATTACGATACATATTATAGATGTCATATCGTCAGTTTTACTAAGTAGCAATCCGCCTTATAAATTGAGATTTTTACATACATTATATCAGAAAAGTAATCTTTCTAACAAATAACGTTTCTCTTATTATAACGTTTCTCTATTAGGTCGCTTCTGATTTGATTTATGTAGTGTTTTTTATTTCATAGTGTTTGCAAAAGAATAATATAAAAAAGGAGTTTATGCCAAATGATTCCAAGTTATGTTTCAGTTTTCGTTTTTTTTTTCCAGTAAAAATTGGAAAATTTGTAAATCCTCATGTAAGCCTCATAAATTATGTGAACATCCATCAATTTTGATCTTTTTTGTCGTTATCGTGATTTTAAAGAAAAATTTCATTTTTTCATAGAAATTTTGTATCAAATAATGAATAAGCAAAACACAATCAAATTTTATTTTATTTTATTCTATTTTCCTTTCATTAAAAATACATTGCAAATATTAAATTAAAAAATCATAAAAAATATGAGCCAAATCAGAGGAGGCCTAATGAGTTACTTGTAATATTACTCAACATCTTATACGTTCCGGCAAATTAGAATTATAGAAACAAAACCAATATATTTTTCTGCTGTTATATAAAAAGTGTGTATAAAAGTGTACATAAAAAGTAAGAATTGAATCATTTTCTCTGTTTTAGTATTTAATATCAAGCGAACAAAACAGGGAACAGAAAGCAATTGTTTAGACAACAATGAATGAATTTGCTCTGTATGAATTTGCTTCCGTCATTTCGTATAGATTGAAGGCCAAAGATACGCAGACGCTTTTCAAGAAATTTAACAGGTTTCTTATTGCATTAATGACGTTATTTAACATGTCGTTAAGTCAGTCGCTTTCCCACGAGGATCTTTTTCGCACGCCAAGACGGCGCAGTGGAATCATCATTGTCTCGTCGCGACGACGTATCGTCGCGTTTCTTACGGCACTGCGAATGAATGGCGGAAAATTTCTCAGACGCGAAATTACGCGCGCGTATGTACTTACATGCATACAAAAGCAAGCAACGCTCGTTACAAAGATGATTAGTGTCCTTTTCTTACCAAGGAGGCGTTCTTCGCAGCGACGTACGCAACCAGGAATGTTTTCCAATGGTGGAGTTCGGACTTCTTGGATTTCTATAAAGTCAGAAAACATAGTGATGATGATTGCGCGATCCCATTCTGCAAAGTCAGCATAAATTTTCTCATTGTATAACTAAGCTCGCGATTCAAAGAGAAAATCATTTCATTGTGAATAATTGATAACAACATATGAGACACTAACAATAGATCTATAAAAGATTTTATCTATATTAAGATTTATTAAGTCTTTGTTGAAATTTTTAAATCTGAGATCAAAAAATTTTTTTTAAAACATTGAAAATAGTTATAATTTATTGGAAACTTTGATTTTTTGATTAATATGTTAATTAAGTTATAAATAATGCCTTCCCTAGCGACAATTTTTTTTAGAATTTTTCATATAATTTTTTCAAAATTTCTAATTCAAAAATTAGTACATTAAAAAAAATATTCTAAATTTAAATAAATATTTATTTGAATAGTGCCAACTAAACATTTAATTACATATAAATAAATATTTAATTAGCTATTCAAATAAATGATTCATTAAAATTTATTTTGTTGTAGTATATTAATAACAATTAAAAAAATTTTTTAGAATCTCTATATTAATTTTGTAACTTATTTTATTTAATTAACTATTATTTTATGTTAGAAAATTTTTTGTAAGATTTTTTTATAGTTTTTTACAGTTTGGAATATTTTTCAGAAATACTGAGAAAGTCTAAATCTTTTAGAATTCTTTATATGTACGAATTCTGAACTATAAGATTCATTATTCTATAATTTTTGAAGAAAATTTATAAAGTTTAAAGAAGTTAAAGGTATTTTTTTTCAAAAATCTGTATAAATTCAATACGAAAAATTCTGAAAATTTATCTTAAAATTCTTGCAAATTTTTTCAAATTTTTTACAATTTCTATATAATTTTATATAATTCTATAACTTTTTACAAAATTTTTTAGATTTTTTTCTACGAATTAAAACACATTTTTCTGAAAAATGCTGAGATTTTTTCTAGAACTCTATATTAAATTATAAAATATTTAAAAATTTGTATAACCCATATAAAAAAGAATCTAAAAATATTATGACAATTTTTTTCATTAGACAATTTTTTCCATATTGCGATTGCGCCAACATTCTGAGAACAAAACCAGTTGTCTATAAACGAATACGTCTTTATCTGATATTAACTTTGCATAATAAGCAATTTTTTTCCTCATATGGTATATTTTAAAATAGCAAACAAAACGCACACGTCAATGAAAAGAAATTTCGCATTGTACGTCAGATCGTACGTATTGGCTTTTGCGCAAAAAAAATTAACAGGAAATCACTATCAAGAATACGCAACACACGAGTGTTGCAAAGCGACTCTTGAAAATACATTTCCATTATTATGTAATTCGTGTGCGACTTGCGTCTACAGATGGCAAATCAGTCGGTATTGTTCCAAGATGATAGACATTGTATGCAGCATGTTGCTCTCATGTAAATTCATCCCAGCGTAAAAATGCACGGGCGTGCTTCGGATTATATTGCATTTTAACATTTTTAGTATCTGTACCATGTATCAGCTTCGGAAATAATACTATATTCCGCAACTGATGTTACGTATATCGAGTGAATAACGGCAGGAAGCAATTGACATAATAGAAGGTCTAGTTTGCTTTTGCTCTTTTCTTGTCTACATTAGAATAGTACAGTGATTTTCCGAATATTTTGGTGCTCGAATATGCGTTATTGCAACTCGATTTCCGATTATTCAAGTTAATTATACGATATAAATTAGGAAATATGAATAATTTGAAACCAAGAAAAATTTTACAAAAGATTAAAGTTTCAGAAATAATAACTCGTTTTCATAACTAAATATTTCAGATTACAAATTTTAATAATAATTTGTTTGATATTTCTTAATATACAAGATCAGATATTCTTATACATATGTATGTATATATTATATAATATATACGTATATATATCAGGTATTCTTATACATACATGTATTATGCAACATACATGCATTACATAAAATTACTTGATGAAATATCGAACAAAGTGCAAGTCTTATTAAATACTCTCGTATGCAAAAAAAAAATGAATATAAAAGAAAGTTAATCATCCCGCAAAGTAATCTTGATATATTCCACAGAGCAACGTTCTTCTTCTATCGAAGATATCGTCGAATTTACCTGTGCAAGTTGGTACCGGTTGGCGAGGGCGTGGAACTGCTACCGCCCGGCGACTCCGGTCCATCATCCACCAAATCGCCCTCAACGGAACCAAAACCTTCGTAGCTCTCCTCTTCGTCGTGACAGCCGATTTTGATTGTGGTAGCATTGGCCGATGCGGCCTGGTGATCGTCAGGGCTCGCGGAATACCGTCCTGAGTCTGTGAGAGTCGAACTGTCGAAATTATGCAGATCGACCGACATCGAGAGCGAGGGCGGCCCGCTCTGATTCCACTCTCGAGGGATGCCGACGCCGACGCTGACGCCGACGCCGTTCGTCGCACGTCTCTCGTCTTCGCGCGACGTGGTCCCCGCGCCGTCGGCTATGCCGCTACCGTTAACGGTGGACGTGATGTTCACGGTGGATGTACGAGAGCTCACCATCCTTGGACCCCGCAATGGGTCCCGACGGAGTATTCGCGCGTTGCAACGTGGTGCATGCGCCGTCAAAGGACACTCTCATCCACCGCCACCGTCACCGTCGTTGTCGCCTTGCCCCGTTGTTGCTGAAACACCACGTTTATGAGTCAGACTTAAGGTATGCCAGGAGGAGCGCGTCCGCTTTGAAAGTAACAAGCGGTGTGGTAGATGGGAAAGAAAGAGAAAGAGAGATGCAAGTCGAGTCGAGTCGTTGCCCGCGAGAACTTCTCTTCCCTCATCCTTCTCCGACTGAGAAGTCGGGGTCGAGGTAAACTTGTATATATATATATGTATATGTATGCGCAATAATTTAAATCGATGAGAAAGAGAACATTGTTACGTTGCTATCTTTTATTCAAGATAATGAGAGATGCAGAAGCAAAATGCGCGCACGACTGAGTTTGAAGTGCGTCTTATTCTGCATTTTGCCGCATTGCGTTCATCAGTTGTCATGTCAGTTTCTGGCAAAATTGTGTGATAAAAGCAATACGTATAATATTCCGATATATTATTGATTATATGTTAATGAGATAATACAGCCATGTTGAATGGAACAACAGCGAGATTTTCCAGTAAATCTCGCGTCAATAATCGAATAACATGCGAAACTAAATTCACAAACAGCTCAAATAAGATAGAAGTTCAAAAATTGTATTCTAAATTTTATACTTGATTATACTCTGATGTTCTCATAACAACCCTAACGAAAATTTTTCTTAAATTTTTTTAGAATTCCTATATACATTTCTATATACATTTCTGAATTTTTCAGAATGTCTGTATAATTTTATAACTTTTTAGATAATTTCTAAGTTTTTTTTAATAAATTGGGACACTTAAAAAATATTGAGAAAATCAGGTTTTTCTAAAACTTGTTGTAACATATACGTAAATTCTGAAATACTCAAATAATAAAATACATGGAAGTATCCTCTCTGATTTTGATGAGCTTTTGATATATGTTATCTAAAAACCAAAATAAAGAACATGTATTTTTTTATATGTGCTTATACGCATTTTCTGGATATGAAATGAAACACTTGTTTGACAAAATCAGTTAGTTTCTTTCAAAACGAATATAGTGGAAACTACAAGAGAACTATAGAAAAAAAGTTCTAATAAAAGTTGAATGGTTTCAAGAGTTCCAAAATTACTTTATAATCATGATAAAAAATTTTTTTCAATTTTTTATGTTTTATAAATAATATTTTTATTTAGAAAAAAGTTTCTATTAAAAAAATTATTATAAAATACTAATATTATTTTAAAGATATTAAACTTTTATTTAAAACAAATTTTTCATTTCTTATAATTTCGATGATACTCACTTCGAAAGAAACTAACAGATTTTTGTCAAACGGATGTTTTATTTCTTTGAAATATTATATAAAGAATACTAATAATAAAAATGTTTACTAGAGTAATTACTTGAAAATTCAAATTACCAAATCTCTCTTGATTCAAATTTCAACGCAAAGTAACACAATCTGGATTGCAAAAATGCATCATAGTTCAATTTAATGTAAGGGAATCTGCCTCCTCCTTCGCAATCTTTCCTGCACATTGCTTGCTGACATCGACTAGTAAAGCTGGTTCAACATTATCACATCACAGCATCGTAAGCGTTGTAATCCAATTTCTACAATAATCATGTCGCAACATCGCAAGCGTTGCAGTCTAATCAAAGTCAAGCCTGATGTTGATCAGATTTGCAATGCTTGCGACACGTTTGCGACGCTACGATGTGATTATTGTAGAACCAGTTTGTGGGGCTCGCGGTCATTATTCTAATGAAGTAAATACAGACATTGCCTGCCTGTATACATATGGAACGATGGCGAGATACCCGACGGTTATATCTGTAATTTTATTAAACGATGTATTCCAGGGAAGCAGAGTAGGGAAAAAGCGTGAGAAAACTGGCAAGAAGAGGTCATAATACAATGGGTGCGTTCGGAGAGACGCTATCAGCGCTAATATAAGGAACGCTACCAACGCTGTTCCTAGAGCCAATAACACGATAATCTTAGCAAGTTCCATAAACAACAAATGTAGTGTCGGTAGCATTCGTCGAGTTAGGTTAAAATGGAATATAAGATATTTTAGAAGAGTATCCAAGATATATATTTTAATATATAAATATATAATATAATATATCAAATTTTGTATAACAAAAAAAAAAATGTTTGAACCACAAAGATAAAGCATCGGAATATTATGAAAGACGGTAGCCTGACGAAACTTTCGGAGCTCTGTAGCGCTTTCATTATTTATTATTTCGGTCAATTACATGACCTTTTAAATATTTAATTATAGTTTTTTTTTATTTAATTACAGTTATACGAATGACTCACCATTTTAATGATATTTCATAACTCTTCATACGAAATATAAATGATTCCGTATATAAGAAGTTATTCAATTTACCATCGATTAATTATTTGGTTAATTATTACAAATTTATTATTAATTCGCATGTATTAATATTTTGTTCACGGTTTTCTAGAATATTGTTTTTCTGACTACTTTGAATTCTGATATAACTGACAAGGCACTACACGATATGAAGGATGTAATATCATAGATATTTTTATAGCGATGTTTGAATATTACCGCAACATTGAAAATGGCTCGAGCGAAGTCGAAACGTTTGTTTATCGTTTTGTAATTATTATATGAATTTTATGATTGAATTTAAATTAAAGTTTGTTACTACATTACTTTGCCCTTCTTTTGCATACATTGTTTTATATTTACAGAGTCTTATTATTATTTATTAATTTTAAAGAAAAGACTAGAAAATGCTTTATTCACTTCAAATCGTCATTCAGTGAAAAAAACTGTAGCGTAATAATTAAAAATCAATTTAAAGAAAAAAATGTTAAACTTAACTTACAATTAAAGAAATTTGTTTTGGCTTTAAAATGCTTTTTCAAATATATCACTTTGCGGAGATATGTGAAATTTGAATTTGGTCTTTTTCAACGCTGATTTTAAATGACTTTTTAATTTTTGGAATAACTAAAAGATCATTTTTGCTTCAATGCTGGATAACTTGGTTTAAAAAAATTATACAGAGTTGAATAAAAAAGCAAATTAAAGAGTCACTCTTTCGAATGTAAACTATAAACCGCATTTGTGTGCAACTTCGTTTTCTAAAGTGCCGACCGGAAAAATAGAGATTTCAAGCTATAAAATGCTCTTTTAAACATCTCGATATAATGATTTGTGATGAAGTTCTTCTATTTTGAAATTTGCCTATTTTTGCAAGGTGGAATAGATGATTCTTTAATTTTGTTGTAGTGTATATTAAAATTGAAATCTTTAAGAAACTACTGTATTTCCATGTTCTGAAATGTTTAAAGTATGTTCAATAATGTTTGTGATAAAAGAACAAAAATGTAAATGTAACAATCAATTAAAAGTACTGGAGTCATTTTGCTCTTTGTGTGACCGATATAAAATTCTCAGGAGATGTGATCACAAAGGATTAAGGATGTTCGATTGAAATTTTTGTCATTTATTTTATAATATATTTTCATATATTTTTATTAGAGCACAGATTAAAAAAATACTACTTAATTTTTATTAAAATAACTTATGATTCAGATAGTAAACTATTATTACAATTATGTTACTTTCAAATGTAATTAAGAATGATCTGTAATTTTTACATAATTTTCTATTATTTCGAAACATCTATCGAACATCCTAAAAATAATCATTTCTGCAATCGGTGTACTTGTTCGGTCAAGTAGCTACGTACGAATGCAATCGTCAATATATATATAAATTTTTTAATCATAAATTTTCATTGGTTTTCATTACTTTCTGAGATGTGTGTCTCAAAAATGGGTAACTAATTATTAATATGAAAATTTGTGGTAAAACAATTTATATGAGAGTTTGATGATTCTAAATATCTGAATCACGTTCGTTTTAGCTCTTATTAAGATGCCTAGCTGATGGATGCGGCAAATGTCACGTGCGGCAGCGCGGGATTTTTTAGAAGAAAATAGATTCTAGGGGCTTCTGAATTATTTCTGTATTGCAAGTTAAATAAATCCAACTTCACTTGCGGCATCGCAAAAGTAAAGTTATTTGATCCAAATAATTTGAATTTGCTGAGTGGACATCTTGTCCTGTCAACTATAAAGTCCCCTCCTTTTGAGCGTTTGGACTAGGCCTCGTTTGAAATCCTTTCAGTCGAAGAAGAATTAAGATTTGAAAAAAATAAAGTTGCAATTATAGCCGGGGTGAATGTAGAGATTCCTTTATGTGTCACGCTTATGGCTCCTGCACACAGAATCGCGGAGGGAAATTGACGCGAGAGCCAATCAATTTATCGCTTTTCCATAAAAGCGAAAGAATGATTGGTTACTGCGGTAACTTCCGTGAAGCAAACGTTACTGTTTCCTGTCTACAAGAGCATTGGACTTACAGTGCTTACTAAGCACGCCGGAATATAATCAGCGGTCTTCAGGCACTTGTCACTCGGAATGGAATGCGTAGATGCGTTTCGAATCACACCAAGCTGAGATTCCAGTCCGCCTATTTAGAGCAGACTCGAAAGTGTGAACAGAGAGCGGAGGATATATTTAACGTGCACGAGTCTCCGATATCTAATCTTCGTTCTCTAACAGCACATGGATATAGCTAGTATTTCGCCTAATCCATATTCTCTTACCATTTCTTACCTGACGCAAAACATTCGTCCATAAATCTGATTGATCCTCTATCATTTTTCAATCTTCTTTAGATCGATCGTTCCTGAGGAGTTCTCATATTACTTCCCCAAGTCATTTCGACTCGCTTTTATTTTTATATCGATCACAATTTGTTTTTTATATTATTTACATTCGTCGTATGATGAAATGCTTTGTTTGCTACATATTTTGGACATGCATTCAAGAATTGTGCGTAACAATAAAGCCTAATGCACTATTGAAAACCCACAGGCAACCCACTAGCAACAGGAAGAGGGAATACGAGATTTCAATTTATCATAGTAGAAACAATGTACATCGAAACGCACGATTTCTTCTGATAAGTTGAAATCTGTTAAGTTGTTTTCCGTTTCTATCGCTTGTGTTTTTCATTGTGCCTTAGGCTCAACTCTCTTGCGATTAAAAACAATAAAGTTTCGAGGTCTCTCCGATTTCACACTCATTGATGATTAATTACTCCTAGTGGAACTCGAAGTGACGCAATTAGTAATATTAGCAATGCAATAAAATAAGATACATATGATGTAATAAAAAAGTCCTTTTTATTTTAATAAAATAATGTGTTTTTAACACACATTCGGCTTTTCTTTTCAAGCAATTTCACAATCAAGAAATGAGCATGACGGTTAAAGGATTAGACGCTAGACTAGAGCCGAGCGAACACGTTCTATTTTCAAACTGGGCATGCTCGTATTGCACATACGTCGAAATCAACAACTACATATGTATACATATGTTACAAAAAGTGATTGGTTACGAGGACGATCGAAGGTCTGTACAATGGAATTTACAGTAACGGTGCGAGCGGTGCGCTGAACGCCTATTCGCAACACAATCACGCATTTATGCTCGCTCCTTTCAGATGTGTTGTATAATATAGGCTATTTCTACCAATGCAGATCAATCTTTTAATCTTGATCTTTCTCTAATTCTAAAAATTAGAGAGGAGAAAAAGATAAAGTGTGAGTTAAACCGAAATTTAAGTTAACCCATATTGGTAGAAATAGAGTAGTAAAGGGGACATAATATAAACGCTTTCCGATCAATTCGGAGTTGAGAGTTTTCGCGAATAAAAATAATATTCAGGTATCGATGGAAAGGCGATATTCCTTTTGATGAATTAAAATCGCCGAGCAGAGAGGACTCAATCAATCAATCAATTAAAAGGCAAATAGCGAATATTTTCTTCTCTCGAATAAAAAGATACGTTACGCGAAAAACTGGCGGTCGACATTTTTTTTTCGCCGAGAGTAAACTGTCAACTCCGAGCTGATGAAGAGAAATTCCCCCGGAAACTCACAGAGTTCACACGCGGCGGTACCACTTCACGGGTACCACTTCAAGAGAGCAGACTTTCCGACGCGGAAGAGGCGCACGGAAATTAGATTCCTGATCCTGAAATTTGACTCACCTCGCGCGTCGATTGCAGTGCGACACAGTGCGACACAGCTAGCGGCAGACCAGGTACGACCACCGTTTGTAGAGCAGCAATGTGTATCCCGTTTGTTCGCTGAATCAACACACCTGTGCTCGCGCGGCAACGTGTCGCGTAACCGATTGACGTCTACCCGGGAAATAACGAGGGGAAAGACCGATCAATCGAGGAGCGCGCGATCGAGATAACGGTGTGCGATCGGCGGCGAACTGAAAGCATAGACGCGGACGCGGAGACGTGGAGCTCGAGGAAGTGGAACGTACGATTGTGGAGCCACACCGACTGATCGACGACAACGTGGGAAGGGGAGGGGGGAGGGGGGAGGCGCATGCGCACTCTGCGCGAAATGATCGTGCGCTACTCACTAGCACCGATCGGTAATGGTGATGATATACGTGAAACGTCGCAAGGACGCCGATGAACGCGCACTGACTGCCTGCGACAGGCGCACAGTGGCACACACAGGTGTGCGTCACTGCTGTATCCGTCAGGGCCAGATACGAGAGAAAGAGAGAGAGAAAGAGAGAGCACAGTGTCGCTCAACCGTGTCGCCGCGTCGCGGTAGCGAACTTAGCGTCGGGTACGCGCTTAGCACCCGGGGCAATCCGGTTGATGACCTACCTAGAACTGTATAGCCTATACATCCAATTGTATACGGGGTGTCTAGTAATTAAACTGCCAACTTTTGCGAATAGATGGAGTGGATTAAACTAAATAGAAAAATTGCGCCGATATAAATCACGTGGATGCATCCTTGTCCGCAAATCTTTATATTAGTTGCCTTCTTATTAGTTAGGCCCGATTGCACCAACGTTACTTTGATTTTAAGCGAGGCTTAAAACTCTTTCCGTCTCTGTCTCTTTTTGGCTTTAAAACGAGACAGAGTTTTAAATCTTGCTTAAAGTCAAAGTGATATTGAGTACAATTGGGCCTTATTGATTTATATTGTAAGAAACTCGCAAAATAAAGAATTTTTCTATTCAGTTAAACCCACTCTATCTGCCAACGAAAGATGACGCGGTAATTTCTGAACATCCTATATATAACACGTATGCACGCACTCGCTAAAAAAAAATGAGCCACTAAATTTTAGCATAAACTTTTAATATTTTTTAACAATGATAACTCATTGGGATGAACCAAAGCTCAAATTAAAGCTTAATAATCATGAAGACTAAATTTAAGTTACACAAAATGTATTACAAGTGAACGTTAAAGACGAATGTTCAAGTT